CTCTCTCTCTCTCTCCCTCCCTCCCTCCCTCTCTCTCTCTCTCCCGCTATCCCTCCTTCTCTCAATTTAAATTATGTTAATTTATTTGGAAACCAATGTCCAGAACGTAAGGCACGTCTCTCTCGCCGTCGATATAAAAGAAGACACAATAAGTTTGTGGCGAAGAATGTGTTAAATAACGCAAAGCCTATGTTTTTGACGAGTTATACGGGCAGTGATCGGCACACGTACTCAAACATCTCCTCACCTCCAGGTTTGTGTCACCGCTAATCATATCATTATTTTATATATTTTTTGTTTTGACTCAGAAATAGTGTATATTTTTTGAGTGCCAAAAATAATTTGAAGTGAAATACTTTCGGTTTCCAAACGATTAATATTCAGAAATATTTTTCCTCTCTTGAGATGATTTTTGGCAAATAAAGCGACAATTGATTAATGAATTAAATGCTAATCAATTGATCAAAATGTAGTGATAGTTGTGAGGACAGCATTGTATGCAATGTTATATTAAATGCGGTATATTAAGTGCAGTCAAGCAAAACCACTATTTATACGCACCCTTTGATTGATTGTATGCGGAAATAGTTTGTTAAATAACATTAAAAATGATTGTCTCTATAAATATAACTAAATTTTTATAATTAAAATGAATGGAGTATTGCTTTCTTCAATATATTTCATGACAACATTTTTTCCTTCACTTCAAAACAATTAATTCTCGCATTAATTAAGCGATAAGTCGTGAAAAAGAAGAAGATATCACTCGAAGAAAGACAAAGATAAACCAAAATTACATAAAATACAGCAATTTTTATCTATCATTTGCTTAACAATTACTATCAATCATGTAATAAATTCTCTGCAGTTTATACCGTATATCTATACAAACGATGATATATTAACACAATTTAAACTCAAATTTATTGTTTAGTTTTAATTGCTTTCATGTGTCGACAGACTAATGATTTTGAACTAAATATCAGATATAACTGAAAATATATTTTTTTGCAGTCAATTCTCAGTACAATTGTCACTACTTTTATCACACTATTATAGCCTATATTTTATGCACAAAATCATAAAATTTATGCCAAAAACTCTAACCTCTTCTTCATCTTTCACAAAGGATTATATGTTTTGGATTTCAATTCATTGGGAAAGGATGTGAGCGTCAAGATATACGTCTCTCAATACTATCCGTATCCACTTCTGCCAAATGAACCGGACATTCATGTGGTGTCCGTCCGAAGCGACGAAGTGGTCATCAGTTGGCCTCCGAGTCCGTCGGAAGCGATCGCCACTATTGACTACTGTGTGTCGATCGGCACCAACAAGAAGTGGGCCGACAATTGTCTGCTCGACACATACCTTAAAGAGGAGGAGAGCTATGAGTTGGATCTGTTGCCGTCGGAGGCGATCACATCATTCAGCTATTGGTGGGTCCGGACAGTGAAGAATATGCTGAGACAGTCGCGGCTCAAGTCGATGGCCGACCACAGCGTTCGGGTGGAGTGTATCGGCAAACAGACCGCACATACACTGCGGCGGTTAGACAATCGCCGCCACAACCAGTACTTTATCGACGTTTACGCCAGAAATACGGTCACAAACTCGACGTCAATGTACCGCACGGTTAACGTCACACTTATTAATACAGAACCCATTGTGGTGTCGGACGACCAGAATATTGTCATCAAATTGAATCAAACAAATAATTTCACACAAATCTTACACTACAAGACATTGGGTGGAGACGGAGGCACCGATACTACTGTCGACAAGTTATGGCTATTTTTGCAAACCTGCACTGGTTTTGGACCAATTCGTATGACCGGCACAGCCGTCACTTCGGCCAACCCTAACGTCACTACGAATACAGCAATAAATCGGACGCTATTTACTCAAAATATATTTTCATTGAAAACACTGGAGTTTAATGTGAATGACGGCAGGCGTAAGACCACAATAGACCACAAGAACCAGAGTTTAATAGTGTTTGCCATCAGTTCGGGTGCGAACACAGACAGGACCGCCGTATTTACTCTAAGCAAACGTCACAATCGTTTTCTATACCCACTCCTACCGGAAGACACAAAACTCAAAGTAATGGCAACGTTGACGGACTGCCGATCGGTTACACTGGCCTGGAATGCGAGTCCCGACGATAAGGTCCAGTACTGTATTTACGTTCGGGAGGCTAACCATCATCACACCTCGTCATCCAATGTGATCGCACCCGTAGATAATGCGTGTGTCGATCAGGGATTGACCATCGGATCCGAAGCTAACAACAATGATATCGATTCCGACGACACAAACGATAGTTTACGAAAAGTTTTGTGTAAAAGGTATCACAAGTCGTCGAAACGACGGTTTAATAATAAGATCATTCAGTCGGTGAGGGGTCTGTCGTCGGGCCAGACCTATGTCTTCCTAGTGATGATCACTAAATACAGGGGCAAAACTCTGGCCTACGAACAGGTGTGGGCCACAACTCGCCCTAAATACCAGTGCTAATAATTTTTATAGTTTTTTTTTCTATGTAAACTATTTATGTATTAAATATTTTTGTGATTTTATGTATGTTTTGCATTGAAAATATCAACTAATGTTTGTATTGTATAATTGTATTTCAAACATTCATTTATAAATTTTAAACATTTTTTATTATTTAAGTAGTCATTGAAAGTAATGGACAGTAGGTTTGCATAAATACCGCAGTAGTGTTTGACTGTAGTTAGTGTATCACTTAAGCCAATTGTCCATCTATTTTATTGCAATACATTTTTGTGTATATATTTTACTTGAAAAATATATGAAATTATTATTTCATTTCTATTTATTATTTAAATATCATATAAGTTTTGATTTTCATTTTTGATTGTGATTTTTATGAAAAATAAAATGCATTTTAACATTAATTTGGGTTCATTTACTTCAATTACAAAACATTGCTATTTATTATAAAACTGTTTGATAAACCTATCAGTGATTAATTCATTTGAAAATACATTATGAAATATACAATATAATAAAGTAAATGTTAAAATAAATGTTTATTGCAAACAATTAGT